CTCACTTGGAGTATTGTGTGCAGTTCTGGTGTCCTCAACATAAAAAGGACATGAAACTGTTGGAACAAGTCCAGAGAAGGGCCACGAGGATGATCAGGGGACTGGAGCACCTCCCATATGAAGATAGGCTGAGAAAGTTGGGGCTGTTCAGCCTGGAGAAGAGAAGGCTGCGTGGAGACCTCATAGCAGCCTTCCAGTATCTTAAGGGGGCCTATAGGGATGCTGGGGATGGACTCTTCATTAGGGACTGTAGTGATAGGACAAGGGTAATGGGTTAAAACTTAAACAGGGGAAATTTAGATTGGAGGAAATCTTTCCTGTTAGGGTGGTGAGGCACTGGAATGGGTTGCTCAGGGATGTTGTGAATGCTACATCCCTGGCAGAGTTCAAGGCCGGGCTGGACAAGGCCTTGGGTGATATGGTTTAGAGCGAGGTGTCCCTGCCCATGGCAGAGGGGGTTGGAACTTGATGATCTTAAGGTCCTTTCCAACCCTAACTATTCTATGATTCTAAGTACAAATCACACTCATACAGTTGATAGAGCTCCTGAAATGTACACTCAGGGCTTTTTTCCCCCCTCTAGTCTGACTTTGAATATAAACCTAAGTTGTGTAGTGATAAACATTGTTTTTATTCATATAAGTATTTCTTTATCCTTTCAGTCTGTCTAAACTGTTTATTTTATTAATACAGTGCAGGAGCACCCATACAGTGCGGTAGCAAATGCACAGCATTTCCCTGCCTCTTCAGATCTACTGTGCAAAACCAGCTATTTAAAAAAGCTTACTTGATATATTTACTACTTTAGGTTGTCTGTTCATAACCTAGATTGTGAAAAATTAGGCAAGGAACTACAACAGTAAAGCTAAGCTATTTGAAATTCACATATTGTAAGTCAATGGTGTCACAAGTATTTCACAAAATGTCATTTAAGAAACATAGATGCATTATTTCTACCACTATGAACTTTATGCAACAAACCATCACAAAGCAATCACTGTGGAGGCTTGGATAAAGGGGAACACACAAAACCAGTTTAGTTTGGTAAGTCTTCTGAATTTCCTGAATTGCATTTCTGGCTACATTGGTTTTATTTTTCAGAAAGTAGTGAACCAAGGAAGAAGAAGTATTTTCATAATAGGAAAATATAGCCAAATATGGGCTGGCCAAGAACAGAGCCAATTACTCACCTTCAGCAGCTTGAGTCCTTTGAGCCTTGCTGCTGTCCACACATTCTCAGAAGCTTAAGAGCTTTTCAGCTAGCAGGACCCATATAACACCCATGAGCCATAACTCAGCAGGAGGCTTAATACTTTGTATTAAAGTACATGCCATGGTGGCACCCTCTCTCTCAGAAGCAGGAACTATCCCACTAAACTTTTCAAGTACACAGAGTTCATCCACCCCCTAAAATGTGGTATGTCAAAACAACTGAGTGATGCATCTTGACTGCCAAGGCACCACAGACCAGCAAAAAAACCCAAACAACCCACCCAACCTCAAAGAGGACTACAACACCTAGCATCCAGGACATAAACAAACTTTTAATTTGGAGCTTCATTGTCATGGCATTATAGACCCAGAAGCAAAGTGAAGGAAAGGATTTGAGATATTCAAGTGTCAGCTGAGTGACACAAGAAGTGCAAGTAACAGAACTAATGAGTCTACAGAAACAGGCCTTCTAATAACCAAGCTGATCTCATTCTAAGGTAAACTTCTAAAATAGGTCAAATGAACTGATATTGTTGCTTACTCATAGCAACCTGAGTGAGATCTGGCATGTATTTATTCTCTCAACCTTTCCACAAGGAAATAAGTGTTAACAATGGAATATTGCAGTGGACAGGTTTTGGGTGAATCAGAAAGAATACCTCTGCTCTCTGAAGCCTCAAACTGCATCTACATAACAAATAATTGTATTGTTTCTTTTTTCTTTTTCCTGTTTCTAACTAGTGACTCAGGGGGCAGATCTGCACAAAGCTCAGACAAACACAGTGAAGAAAAACATAAAAATAGCCATATCAGTCAAACAAATATAACATCTCCAACAAACAATAATGGGTACTGAAGGGTTTAAGAGGATAAACAAACATCAGTAATTCCAGATAATGCTCTCCCAGAATAGCACAGTCTGTACCTCAACTTCCTGAAAAGTAGGCTACGCCTTTGTATATAAAAGTGCTTGAAGCATTCTTATTCTTTTGTTTTATTCAGTTGTCATAGAATCTATGTACGTTGTTATCATCCAGAACCTCCCAGAAAAAGGAGCACAAAAATAACAGACGCACAAAAGTTTACACAGCTCTTGATGCATCAACTGAGAGACAGAACATGTTAACACCATTCACAACACAAGGAAAACAAAAGTGATTCTACCTCCAGAAAGGAGCTAGTAATTCCACACGGCACTGTACTACTCTGCACAGACACGACAACTCTGGCTAGCAGAAGCTGGGTGGCTGGATCTCAGTTTCTCCATCTAGCTATGCCTATCCAAAATATTGCCTTTTCTTTTTTTTTTTTTTTTTTTTTCTAAGCAGCTTTTGGGTTTGCCAGTTTCAGATTCCACAGTAGTTTATTTTAAATTTGCAACAATAGCATGGCTTTTATGTAGTCTGAATTAAAAGAGTTATGATCTTCAGGAAAATTACAGTGCCTTGATATTAAATATGATCTGACTGTTGAGCCTTACATAAACTAACAGAAGCTTTGGGATTTGGTCTGACAGTGAATCTGCAAGGCACTAAGCAAAAAAACCCAAACAGTATTAACCATGGAAACTGTAATAACTTGCACTGGAAATACAGTTTAGCTTAGTAACTTTAAAGAATGGTAACATCAGAGAAAGAGCTACAGAAAGAGACAAGGGAAAACAAAGCTTCATTCTAGATCAATCTCATTCGATTTACAATGTTTTACAATAACTCCTTCCACTAATTCACATATGGGAGCACAAGAAAGTAAAAGCTGTCTGTTTGGATCAAATTGACAGTTTCTCCAGTCAAGTATATGACTACAGTTGTAGCAACAACAGATGCCTACAGAAAAGTATAACCACAGGGCAACCATAAAGACTTCTCCAGTGGGTTTCCCAGACTTCAGTGTCTTGGAGCTCAAGAACTTTCAGACAAGCAGCAGTGTCTGTCTGACACACTCCATGGGTTTTTCTTCTATCAACTTTCTAATAAATTTTCAGACTGATCAAACCCTCTGGCAGAGTGTTCAAACTGTAGTCATAAAACAGGAGGAACGAACCCTTTCTAACCTTTATGAACTTGCTATCAGACAGGTTTGGTGCCCCAGTTCATACACTGAAAAGGAGAGTAAAATAAATAAATAGATTCCTATTAGTCTTTTCTCTTTTGTTCATGATTGTACAGAGCACAGAACAGGTCATATTTCACATCAGCTGTGTCTGAGAATCAAGTCGAAGTCCACCTTAACTGGAAGATGCCCAATGCTCTTTGTCACTCTTGTCACCTCTGGATCTTTTCCAGTAGTTTTGATCTCCTAGAGATGTGGGAACCAGAACCTTATGCATCATTCAAGATGCAGCCCAATATGGTTTCATTATATGACATTAAGATGCTTTTGCTTTGCTCCCTATTCTCTTTCTAATCATTCCTAAATTACTTTTATTTGACTAGTACTTAACAGTTAACATAGATTTTCATTGATCTGTAATTCCAGGTAATAGCTAGTCCCATCTGACATGAAATATGTAAAGTTTGCTTTGTTTTTCTTCTTCATTTGCTCTTTAGTATTACTTTCTCTGAGTTTTACATACCAGTCTACGACTCAGTACCTCAACACTGCAGAGTCCTTTGTACATCTTTGCAGCCTGCTCTCAAATTTTATTTTAACTCAACTCTCTGGTACTTTTATACATCTAACTCCTATTTTAACAAAACACAATTTGAGTAAAAGACAGTTTCATATCTTGTTAATTACAGATTTTAAACATGACAGTTGAAGTGAAACTCTACTTCTTTTAGTATTTAGAAATCTGGGTAATTACAAAATAAACCAACCCATATGTATGTTGCATATGCATGAAAGGAGCATATCAACCAATAAAGTGCAATACTGAAACGCAGAGCCCCTCACAGCAACAGCTGCTTTTAAAAGGCTTACTTGTTTTCGGCACTGAAAGAGCAGAAACTTGAAGCACACAATGAAAAAGAACCAGAATTGGGGGTTGAGGACTAAAATCCTGACAGTAAAAAAACTGAATAAATAAATAAATATATTAGTCATGAGCACTAACACAGGCATCTGGAGAGATTCCATTTATGTATCAACTGACTTCCATGTCTAAACAGAAAATCTAATATTATTTCAACTGTTACTATGGAACAGAAGAAAAGTCACAAGAGATCAAATGATTAGAAACTAGCAACACAGTTTCCTCAATGTTATAAGGGCTGTCTATTATATGGAAGATGGCTGGTATTAGGCTAGTAGACCACCTCTATTACAGGCAGCTAACTCTGAACTCAATAAACAGGCACAACTGCCTTAATTTAAACACTGTATTCCAAAAGGAAGTGAAACTTATCATCTTGAATACACAGGTATTGAATACACATGCTTTCATAGCCATTGCTATTCTCATGTCTTTGCTTACCGTCCAATGGTGTTTACCTCCAAGCTCTACCAAGCGGACTGTTAAGAGCATGAGCCTTTTCTAAGTTTACAGACCACAAACTGCACAGTGGAACAAGTAGCTTCCTTTGGTTCTGTATATCCACCCCCTCCCATTCCTTCCTGAAAACAAACAAAAAAACCCAAACCCAACATAAAGCAAGGACATCTGTAGACAATATTACTTGTCTTAGCAGATTTTCAGTGTGTTACAAAACCATGGCACTTCAGGTAAGGGAACTTCATGTTCTAACAGAAGTGCTCTATCTTCCCATTTCTGTTCACAATTACAGATAAGCCACTGACTTAATGAACACTTCCCATGAATCAGTATACATACCAATATGCGAACATACCTTTTCGCCAGGAAGACCAGCAACACCGTCCTGTCCTTTTGCTCCCATTTCACCCTACAAAACAACTCATTCAGTTAGAAGTTCTAAAGACTTCTGAGGTTAACAACTACTCAGGTCATATCTGATTCAATAGAAAAACATCCTCTATTCTGCTACCCTGCTTTTGTCATGTTTAGTAATAAAACCACTGTCGAGGAGGATGCCTTACATGTTAACAATAAAATCAGACAAAATAAATACATTTTAAAACACCTGTAATGTCAGTTAAGATCCTCATGTGACAAATATTTACACATGCACATTTCCATAGAAAGCAGGTCCGCTGATTTTAAGGGAATTCACTGTGACAACAGAGTTAAGCCAAGTGGGTCCATTTTCACCGTGCTGAGTGTGTTTTATACTGAGAAAGCTCAACATATAATACAGGTTTGTTTTGTCTCAGTAATTTTTAAAAGACGCTCTCTGAACTCAGCTCCTCTCTCCCTCCCTTTTATCCCCTCAGAGAAACCAAATGTAAACAATCTATGAAAAAAATTCAGTTTCAAGAGACATGACTGACTGATCTGGAGAGGTATGGAAGACACCAGCACCTGCAAACTAGACCATGAGTCTTAGAAACTGATGAAGAGAAGATCAAACATAGAATTTTGCTTAATAATGTCAAGTATAAATTTTAAATTTATACCTTTTATTTTTAAAATTGATTTTATACATTTAAAATTAATAAATTTTATATTTTAAAATCAAAATTGCGTGGACATTAGAGGTGAAAGCACTGAAACCATATTATAGTCTTCCTTTAAAAACAAAACATTAGGTTTGTCTAGTTGCGCCATGAAGACAACATTCTCTAGCAAACAGAGCCATAACACATGAGCTAAGTAAATCAATCAAAATGAACTCCTGGGTGCAGAGTACTATTCTAGCCATAAGTCTAAACCACTCAGACACAATGATGTTCTAGAGGAGTGTAAGAGCCATCTCCTGTGTCCTTTTTATTCAAACACGGGAATGGTCCTTAATTCTGTCAGAAAAGTAGAATGAAATCCTGTGTGTGCACAAACAGCCTGAACTCACTGGCATTATGCGAGATAAAGCAGCAGGACTGGCCCCTGGTTACCCTATCTAATCACCCGCAGAGTGACTCTCTTATCTCTGCACACTCTGTTCCCTTATGCCACTTGCCAGTATTTTAATAGACCAGAACCACTTTGTTCCATTCAGCAGTGGTTTTTTGTATACTGTGTAGTCTAAAATTACACAGCCTGCTACATGCCAGGAAGCCTTTAACATATATGACTTCCTACCCAATTAACCAAGGTATGTTTACACTTCTTTTCCACTAACTGCAGATAGACTCCCCACCTTGAAGACAATTATTTTCCACTGCAAATTAGATCATAAAATTATGTTTCTATCTTGTAATTGTGACTTTAATAGCCACAGCCTTAAAGGTTCTAGTTTTTCATGCTTTTATTTCATCTAAGCTTAGAGAAGAGAAGGCTGCTTGGAGACCTCATAGCAGCCTTCCAGTATCTGAAGAGGGCCTACAGGGATGCTGGGGATGGACTATTCATTAAGGACTGTAGTGATAGGACAAGCAGTAATGGGTTAAAACTTAAACAGGGGAAGTTTAGATTGGATATAGGGAATAAATTCTTTACTGTAAGGCTGGTGAGGCACTGGAATAGGTTGCCCAGGGGGGTTGTGAATGCTCCATCCCTGGCGGTGTTCAAGGCCAGGTTGGACAGAGCCTGTGTGAGATGGTTTAGTGTGAGGTGTCCCTGCCCATGGCAGGAGGATTGGAACTAGATGGTCTTAATGTTGTTTCCAACCCTAACTATTCTATGACTCTATTCAGTGAGTTTAGAGATCATATGCTGTATGTTGTACATCCTATAACAGTATTAACATTTGCATTTTTAAGGGTTTTTTTTGCCCCCCCTTTTGCTTTGTTTCATAGCATTTCGTCTGCTTCTGCAGATCTCAAAGTCCTTCACAAAAGTGAAAAAGTATCCCTTTCTCTATCTTACATAATAGATGTCAAAAGTATAGAAATGAGATGGAAAAAACAAGACTCCTGACCTTTCAGCCTCTATCTTCCCCTTAATAAATCTCTTTTACACCCGAACAAGTGTATTCTAACTCCCAACACACACTGCAGTTGAGCTTAATAAATTCATGTAAATAAATTAGCAAGAATGGGAATGCAGGATCACATTAGCTTGGAACTACCAAAGCAAACAGAAATATATGCTGTCAGATGAAAAAACTCATAAGCTGGTGAACACTAGCAATTCAAGTGCTGGCATTTATAGGTTATGAAGCACACTCAGCGTAACCACATACAAAAGTAATACCATGAGCTGTTAAGCCTCCTGTTAGGATTTACTACCAAGAATATCAATGAAAATCCTTTTCAACCGAGTACAAGATACTAATAGAATAAAATATTTAAGACATAGCACATTTTCCAGGAAGTGATTTCTTGCAAGCAATAGGATGGCTCCTGTATTTTTAACAATATTTTGGAAGGCTCATAAGCAGACTGGGTGGAAATTCTGCAGGATGAAAAAAAAAAAAGATAGAAAAAAATTGCTTCTATCAATTTTCCATAAAGCCAAACTAAATTCTTAAAAAAGAGATTGCAGACAGCAAACATGCTTCCTTCCAGTGATGCCAATCATCCTTTTCTCTGAAGTGGAAACAGTTTTGCACATCTGAGATCACCTACACTAGTACACTTGTGATCATTTTTTTACTTTAATGATTCAGGGAGTTTCAAAAGCACTTGATCTTTACCTCTTGGCACCCTATAGACTTCACTCAACACACCTGTCCCAGAACTAGAAATTATATGCTAGCAGCAGACAAAATACACAGTACCTTGATTCCTATACCACACATTGCTATTAGTCATGCTTAGCAGAGATACCCTAAAGCCAAATGCAGTGATAGAGAGAATGACAAAGTGATAATTATTTAAGAAATTACAGTCCTTTCTCATATAACACCCCTCGCCTCCCAGAACTGAGAAAGTATTTTATTTAAAGTATTCTTTTGTCTCTTAAATTGCAAATCTGTTTAAAATATATGTACTTTGTGATATGGAGTGGGATTAACTTGATACGATATTTAATCTAGAAAACAGTCCACAAGGGATTTTGGGAGTAGGAAAACATTCTCAGGAGGGTTCTGTACTAACCAGGTATAGATAACGATTTTAATACTAAGATAAAAGCAAATGCACTTAATAAACAGAAAGAATCACATTAACATGGCCTAGAGCACACACTGCTAGAGTATTGCATTACAACATTGCTCTTGCCTACAGTGGGGATGTATTAGATGAGAGAGTGACCTACATCAGCTGTCAAAACACTTTTTAACCAACATCAGTTTGGGTTTTGTAAGATTTGATTAAGTAAGTTTTCATTAGTTTTCATCTCTGCATAGTTATGTGTGCCATAACTATCATCCACAATGTACAGGTAAAAGAAACGTGTCGTATTATCAAGAAAGAAGCAACAGTGCACTCTAAAAAGAGCTGTTCCCAGCAGACAGTGTACTGGCAAGGTTTCTGTAAGTGATCAAGTGGAAGATGAAAGAGGTGATGTAGAGAATTCATCCTTTATATGAGATCTGTCATCTGAATGATTAATGTCAGAGGCAGTCCCTGTAAGAAATTTTGTCAGCTAAAATTTTAAAAAAATAGATATGCAGACAGGCAAGCAGTTCTCATGGTTATAAAATGGTGGTAGGAGTATTCAGACATGGGGCAAAAAAATCATTAGGAACTTTTAGTTGATGAATACAATAAATTCAATTCAGAGAGTTTGCCAAGAGTGAGAAAGAAAACTCATCCCAAAGGTGGCACTACTCCACAGTTTCCCAGGCACTGGGGGAGAAGCAGGGAGTACATAGCCCAGGAAGTATTGCCTAGTAGAAGCCGCTGGCTGGGTGCTGACCTGGCAGTGCTGGGACACAGCCTTGATGTGGCTTGAGCTGCGTATCACTGGTTTATCTTCTCCTCTCTACATTTAAAAGTCAGGTCACTCTCTCGTCACAATTAAGAGTTTCAGTTAAGAGTCGTATCAAAGAATACACAGCGCTGAAGCCAGATGAGTGAATTCAAATCCTCCTGTTAACGACTGCAAGGATAAATCCACCACACAGGATTCTGTCCAGCAGCACTGACATCCACACATAATATGGGAATATCCTTATCACAGATGACATACACAACTTCTCTGGTTTTGATAAGGGGAAAAGATAACAGGACATGCTAACAGGGTTGGGTAGATGCGTGCTTCAGAGGCCGGTATACTGTGTTCCATGGAGTCGATGAGGGGACCCCAAAGTGAGACTAGATGTAGGCTGCCCAGCAGAAAGCCCATATGCAAAACCAGAGACGGACTGATACAGAATTTAGCCTGTGTACAGGGATATTCTTTTAGGGAATAACAAAATCCATGCTTTCTATTTAAGAAGGATAAGCCAAAGATAAAGACTTGAAAGAAAGACTTCAACTGATATTTTACCTTTTCACCTTTATCTCCTTTGTTGCCTGGCAAACCAGCTACTCCTGGCAATCCTGCTTCTCCCTGATTTGAAAAGAAATACAAAAAAAAAAAATCAACAAAGCAGAAGATGCAAAATTTGGTTTGGTTTCCTTCTCTTTATCACAAAAGCCTAACAAAGCAAATGACTCAGAATAAATATAGCTCAGGAGAAGGATCTTAAAAAAAGGAAAGCATTACATAGGAAATAATTTATTCTCAAGTAAAAACATTTACACTAAATATAGTGCCTGAATATAATTCTAATTTTTACCATGGATCTTTTTTTGGGTGTGTATTCGTACATGTAAATCTACAATGTACTGTTTCTATCTGGGGAATACGGCATAAGTACATTACAACCCTACAAACCTGTAAAGTATTTTTCATAGCTGCAAAATCAAAACAAATATTTTTTTTTAATACCTATCAGGATTAAACAGCATGATGCACTAAAAAGCAATGGGAAAACTTTATTTGGAAATAAAGATTTCCTCTTACTTTATTTGGAAAGCAGTGGCATCTCTCTCTCGATTCCTGCTGTATTCCTGGAAGCATGTATATTTTGCTGGCATGAACAGTCACTGGTGATGAAGTTGTAGCAAGAAGTCTCTCCTCATGTGAGCACTAAAATAAAAAGAAGATTTTTCTGTTTTTTTTTTTGTGCTCTTTGGTTAATACAGAAATACCACCTGAGCTCTATTTTTAAGTTACTTTCTGGTTTAATACTCCTGTACACACCATATTACAGAAAAGCCACAGCCATTGCCAAACAGAGGAAAAAGCTGTAGTAAAATAAAGTCTAGACATGGTGATTCTTCTGTACTAAAATCAGTGCCAGGTAAAACTAACCTGACTATCATACTTTTCTTCCAAAAGAGCCTGGACAGTTTCTGGGAAAATGAAATCTCCCCATATTAGAAGTAATGAAGTAGAATATCCCCATGGAGAAAAAAAAATGAACCATACATATCAGTTTCATCCCATCCTCCACCTCCTACCCCAAAATGTAAAATGGCAAAGTGTGTGTGAGGGAAAATTCTGTAATTTTTTCATAATGAGATACTTCAGGCATGAACAGTTTGGAAACACACAAAAAGCCCTGAAGCCAATATGCACCTGTCTTTAACTCATAAGAGCTGAGCCAACCTGATGATATACTACAGGACAAGTCAACAGAACTTGATAAACTTCAGCTCTCAAGATGTAATGAGGTCTGCTGTGAACCTTCTGTCAAAGAAATTCCAACAGGATTTACATCTTAATGTAGAAATTTGTATTCAAGGATAAATTATTTCCTTTAAATTAGAAAAAATGTGGCCTTTACAACTGGTAAGGAAGTAAGGAAAAAATAAATCAGAAAATGTAATGGTGGTTTCAATATGAAAGTCATTAACAATTAGCCCACCATTTTTTACATCTTCAACAGAAGACATACAAATGAAGCCAATGGTGCTCTTAGCGACATAGCTGAATGAATGTTTTAAATGCTATTAACAAAACTTATGAACCTTTTTGTGTTCATATTTAATAAGGGCTTGCTTTGGTTCTAGTTTTTGATATTTTGTCATAACTGCTAAATAAATTGTATTTTGACGCATAAAGCAGGACCTACAGAACAAAATCCATCATTTTACCTATCCATGAGGTTATACATACAAGAGGAACCTTGCACTTAGAATAAGGAAACTATTTTGAAATGTTTTTGAACAATAAAGTATTCTTTCAAGCCAAATTTCTCTTGATAAATTAGATCCAGCCTCCTCTATGCTTCTGAGCACCTATCAGCTGTCAGTTCCCACAAAGCCTTCTGCTCCTCTCTTTTTGGGCAGCTTTCTACCTCCATTGCTGGTGCCCTTTTTCTCCCATCTCTTTGTAAATGGAATCAGTCCTTCTGCATTCTCTGTTTGTGTTTTTTTGCTGACTGCAGGCTGGGTGGTGATGGTACTGCTTAATATGTCAGAGGAGCCTGCTTTTACAGGCTATTCATAATGAGCAGACCAATATTTCAACATGTTTTCTTTTGGAAGTTGTGTTTGTTAGTTTGTTTGGGTTTTTTCCCTCTAAATAGACTTGGTTTAGCAGAACAATTACATCCGCAACTTCAAGCATTTCTGTCGTTCGAGTGCCACCCAATTTACATCGATTCTGCCTATCAAAACAAAAGGGAAAAGTAAACCCTTCAAAATAAATCAATGTTTTTCTTTATGTTAAACAATATATACATCTCAGCATGTGTGTTATAGAGAATAAAGTATTTGCCAATTACAAACCACCCATTTATCCACATTAGAGTACGGAAATAAGTGACACACCCTCAACACCTTCATATTTTTCTTCTTTTCCACAGTCACGGAGACACTTTCATGGGCTTTGTTTACCATCTGTAATGCTTCACTAGATGCAACTGTTACTGAAATGGCCTCTGTTATTTGAAGCCATCCTCAGGTCATCACAGTGATTTGTTTCGTATTATCTGAGACTTCTTCAGTTACTAATTACATATCAAACAATAATTAAAAAGCACTAGCAGTACCTAGTGCCTTTTACTGAAGTTCCACTGCGCCATTTAGTTAGGCAGCAAGAAACAATGTACTGTTACTCAAGATACAGGATTAATTTCTAAAAGGCAATTAATCTAATACTTCTATTGAAATGTCTTTACAATACTTTAGTAAGGAACAACGAAGCAATTCCGTTGTATAAATATTTGCATTTTAACTTACCAGTTCGGCAGATATTTCACAACACGTATCTTCTGCTGCAAATTTTGGATCACAATAGATTGTTAAGTGGTGAAGTTCAATCTATTAAGAGATACAAAACAGATTAATATGAGATGTAAAAATCATGAGTTACAGTATGCATTTTCTTATCTTGGCACAGTAAACCTTCTCTCTGAAACACTGCAAATTTCTGAAATGAAGTAAAAGAGACAATTCCATTAAAAGTACACACCTCCTCACTTAAGGACAAATTATGCAGTCTGTTACTTTGATATAAATCACATTTTAGATTTAATTTATATTCATTAAGTTGCATCACTCTGTACAGCTCTTGCTATGCTACACAAGCATTTGAGTCCTCTAGACATCCTCCACAAGCCTTCTCAGGAAGGTAATTTTCTCCTTTAGTGAACTAGAGTAAAGGTTTGATAAGCTCTATCTCATGTCCATCTTCTATCACTTTGGACAAAACATTTGCCTGAACCTTATCACTAAATCACCTGACAAGCAAAAATCACAAATTCTGTACATAAAGCTTCTGTTTCAGAGATTTGGGGTAGACTGTGAAGATGAATGGCATCTAATTTTAACTAGATAATCTTGGCCTCCTATGCCTCTTTCTGCAGCTGGTTTGCATTCTTTGTTTCTCTCCATTGCGCTTGGTTTTGAGAAGAGTGACTTAGTACAGGAGCCTTCATCAGCTTTGTACCCGTAATGTGTTCCTGCAAATGTGGAAATCCCAATGGACAACTTCCACTCAGAATCATCCAGCCTTTGCCATGCAACCACCACAAGATAAAAAAAAAAAATCTGCTTCTCCTCCTACATGCTGCTTGGAAAGGAGGAGATGGTACATGCATTTCAAATAAAGTTGAACTCAATCTTAGAAAACAAAATAAATCATAAGCTTGGACCCATGAAATAAAAGCTCTGAGTCCAAAGCAAAATGTTCCATGCCTCACAGAACTGATTTCTCCCACAATGCTAGCTTGCAGTTACAATGTGCCATTTTCATTTGGAACTCTAGTGTATGTAATACCGCTGAAGCTTTCAGATGGTCACTATAAACTCTGAGCCAGATGCTTTCAACATAGTAGCTGGATGTTAGCATACTTAAAACAAACTGACATTTCCTGGAGCTTTCGAATTAATTGCTGTGAGCTCTCTGCAGAAGAAAACAGAGGAGAACATCTCTGGGACACACACCACCACCCACAATATTACGGTGTTGCCTTAGGTGATTTTTGTACCAATGGCTGCAAGAAACATGCCTCCATCCACTTCCTAAATCCCTCCCATTATGAGGAAGGATTGACAACTATGAACAATGTGCCCCTATTCCTGCATAGCTGAATTACCCTGGAATGTGCTACAATCTTGATAGAGAGGTAATCCTTAATATTTTTGTGTCTCCCCTTTACCAAAGACAAAGCAAGTCTAACAGATAACTGACACAGAATTCTAAATAATCTCATAAAAATTGAAAGAAAAAAATATTACCACTTAAAATTATTTCTAAATGTAGGAATAATATGCCTACAGTAATTATGTGGCTCTTACTCCAAAGCAAATACAGAAACACAGACTCCTGAAACCAGGACTGAGGTTTTTTAGTTACTTCGGTAATAGGTTTGCCTTAGCAAATGCTACAACACTGAATATTGTTTAAAGAATAAGACTTAAGGACTTCAAAAATACACACTCAAAATTAATAGCAAATTTTGAATCTTTTATCTACATAATTCTTTATAAATGTGTTAACAGAAGCATGGCTAAAACATGGTAACAGATGCATGGCTAAAACATGGTATCAAGTTATCTTGTTTTCCTTTCACTACTCACATCTACAGGCTTATCATCTGCAGCACGAGAAGCAATCAGAGTCCTTCCCTGCAAGTCAATGGTGAATTTTTCATCAGTCTGCTTTCTCTCAATTAAATTACAATCCAAATAGAGGGAAATGATCCTTGACTGGACGCTAATACCAAGTTTATGCCACTGCCGATCAAACAATGGATAAATTTCTCGACTCTTAAAAGTGTAGTGCAGTATATTTCCCTGAGCAGATTTGGTCATATACTCCACAACCTTTTTTGTACCATCCAGAAGGACAGAGATCTGAAAAGAAAATAAAAGAAAAGAAGTGGTCGTTTAAAAGTTACGATTTAAGACTCAAACACATACATAAACAGTGTATAATAAAAATACTTCCAACTATATAGACTGGGCAAGAACTATGTTTTGAAGCATTCTACCATTTAGCTTTGTAAATACATACTAGCTACAAATCATAGCATGCCTATTATCCTTAGTTTGCAGTCTTGATGCATTTTGTTACCTATTTGCCATTCCTATGATAAATGATCAACTATTTCAGAGCAGTCTGACTATTCTATATAAACCATAGCTAAACCCAATGGTGAAACATCCAAGTTTCTAAGTTATAATTGCCATTTTACATGGGAACAAAAAAGAAAGTTAATGAAAAAAAATAAACCAAAGATAACTCTAACCTCAGGTGTGTCATACTGATTTAAAACTTGCCATATATACCAACGTTCCTTCTTGGTATTTCGCCGTACACGGAACATAGCAACTAGAGAGTATTCTTCAGGAAGCCCATTTGGAAATACTTGCCTACAAAAGGAGGGAGGAAAAAAAAAGATTTCTTGTAATTCTACACCCAAAGGCTGCTTAAAATGAATGTGCGGAAATAATACCTGGTGAAAACAAGGAATCAAATGTTCATTCACATTCATAAAAATTGAGGGGCTTCAGCATTCAGAAGCATCTCTTCTCAGAAGTACAACTCAGTTTGTCTATAAGAATAAACGGCTGAAGATTTTGCTGATGAATTTTTTGTTCTAACTTTTTTAACATCTGTGACTACTATAAATAGGCATCTTAAAAGAACTGCTGCAATGTGAATGCCACACACAAACATATTTTAAAATACTGCTTTTCCCAATTTATTTCTTGGGATACTGGAAGAAGTTTCCCGGAGGATTTGTGGAATAATCCCCATCCTTAGAGACTTTAAAAACACAGCTGGAGCAGGCTACTAATAACCTGCTCTAACTTTCAGGTCCTGCTTTGAGCATAAGGTTTGGTTCAGTGACCTCCACTCCAACATCTTGAGTATCAGGACAGCTGGACTTGAGCAGACTTGACCAAATATAGGGAATGCATTTCTGAATGAATTACTTGTTCTTGTTGGATTCCATTATTCCTTTCTTACCTAAAAAACGTCAATGCCTCTAAAACAAGTCGGACTTCCTACCTGTGTCACAGAGTGCAGTACAACACCACTTCTACAAGATATTTGAAAAGTTTGTATTTCAGAAGTGAAATTAGTCTGTAACTCAACTCTACAGACTTTGGAAATCAATAAATATACATTAATTATGTATTAAAAAAATTAGGATGGTGCAAGCAACTTTTTTCTTTTGAAGATCCTGCATTTCACATTATTATTTTTCTAAGACAGAGGGGAGATAAATGAAAACCAGAGATGCAAATACAACACAACATGGGTAGCTAAAGCATTAACGTTGCTGTTTACTGAAAACTCTCAGGAGTCCTCAGATAGTCACATTTCAAAAGGTATTCATTCCCTGGATCAGAGGAGAGGAAATCTGAGGGCCTCATGCAGAAGAAAAACACCTTCCATTTTTCTTCCCATGATCATGTGAAGTAAATGGTTTGGTTCTAAAAAGCTACAATGGGATTATAATTACACAATAATGTGCTATAATGCCTTTATTAAAAAAAAAAAGAAAATAAAAAAGTGAAAGAAAAGAAGAAAAGGAGGAAAGCACCAGTTGACAAGACAATAATCCCATAACCCTCCTGGAAATCGGTGCACTTTTATTAATGGAGGATCTCAGGAAAAATGCCTTCTCTGTAGAGAAGACTGTTCTAAATCGTGCCAAAGACCTTCTTTGTAGACTAACACCTATTTAAGTCCCTTATGTGGGAATCACACTCCTTTGGCTTATTTCCCACAGCTGATTCCTGTTATATTCCAGGACCAAATTGGCTGCTCTCCCACATTGTTAGTGGACTAATATGCTCTGTGTACAGCTATATATGTTTTGATGTCAAAAAACAAGGCAAAAGTGAGTAGGCTTTACAGGACTTCGATCTAGATTTCATATTACTCTGTATTTTAATTACAGCATGAAGAATATATTTTATGATCTATAAAGAAAATACTTCCATTAGGCATCAGTAATATATGAGTGCACTTTTGCAGAAAAGTAAACTATCTGAACATGGGATCAGCACTGTGGTTTACAGCATCTCAGACAAGTTAGAGAAAGGGTATCTCATGTTTACAGCTGAAACCTAGACACTGTATCTCTCCCCTGGCTTTGGGAGCATCTTATTAGCTCTCCAAAATCAATTAACTTTCCCAGCTACGTCCCATATTTGGAGACACGGGGGAATTTACACTAATGGACAAAGGGCAAAAAACTGTGGAAGGAAAATGAGCAGAGGACTTCATCAAATGAAAGGACAGGGAACCATGATTGGTACAATAAGTCAGCAAAACAAACATAAGTCGTTTTTGTTCACAGTAGGTATTCTAGTAAATATGGAGCACTCACTGCTTTTTTTCCCCCCACCACTGTGGTTTTATTTCTGTAAGCCTCCCTGACACTTTAAGAGCTATCTGAATGAATGACAGGATTCATCTAAAATTTTCAGTGTTTCTTTCAGAATTTTCTCAAAAAAATAAAAATGCCTGTGAATGCACGTGATATTAAATTATCTTCCTTAACTGTTTATCAAACAATTTGGGAAACAGGACAAGAGGTATGGGTACGGGCCAGCATTATGGAAATGGGCAGGAGTTCACTCTAGCAAACTCTAGTTCTTCCCTTACGTTCAAGCTGATAGAGAAAACTGTATTAAGAGAAAAAAGAAAATCAGAGAAGGTCAAATAAAATCCTAAGGCCATTACACTGATTTCAGCAAAGTTAGCTAAAGAGGTAAGATTTAAGTAAAATAGGACCAAGGATGAATTCAGTTAGATTCACAAAATAACTTCGGTAGGAAGGTACCTCTCGAGGTCAATGGATCTCACACCCTGCTTAAAGCAGGAGCAACCTGAAAATCATATCAGGTTACTATAAATCTTGTCCAGTTGAATATTAAAAGTCTCCAAGAATGGAGATTATTCCACAATCCTCTGGAAAACTTGTTCCCGTGTCTGGACAACGAACAGCACAAATTTGGTATACAATTACTGTATACTAAAGACATAACAGAAACATCTTTATCCTAAGAGAAGTTCTCATTGTGTAAGTATACGAACATTCCTTGGTGACAAAAAAGTCATTAGAAGATACTTTAAAGTATACACTTAACATTCAACCCTTCCAGTCAGATGGTGAGTGCTGAAAGGAAAAAAGCGAAAGGATGAGATGGTCTGAAAAATATCATACCATCTATTATTATACACAATTTCCTCTATGCTCTTGCTCTCTGAATGGCTTCAAGTGAATGCTATAGAATAAAAAGCATCCACCTAGCACTGAAATGTACAGATGATCAGTAAGATACCATGCTAAAATTTCAGTATTACCTACCATGGCATCTTCTACTCCACAAACGTCAATTAAAAACTCCTCTGAAGCAGGCAAAGTATGTATGTATGTTAATAAATATATAAGAACATTTGGGGTCAGGGGAAAGGGGAAGACAGAACAGAATGTGAACATTAAGGTTCATATTGGAACACGAGAAAAGCCAAAACAAAGTTTTGCAGAATACTGAATCTGAAGTTCAGAAGTTCTTCAAATACTTAATATACCGTTTCTACTGATCACATCTACCAACATTTAAAAATAAATGAGAAAACTAATAAGGCAACATATGCAGGGTAAAAACAGTAAGGAAGTTGCATTAAATGGTAATGAGAAGTACAAAAGCAAGTTGTTCCACATGTCCACAGCTCAACAGATACTTCCTCACAAGCTCAACATGTACTTTCATCACACAGGATATTTACCCTGTCCATGGCACAAGGAAAAGAAAAAACAATACAAAAAGGAGAGAGAATAAGGATGAAGGAAACTTGTACCAAGTTAACCTCAAAGTCTACAGATGTAAAGCGCAAATATAGAGAACATTAACTCAGGGTAGTACATCGTGGTATCAGCCAGAAAGCCGTAAGAGAGATGAGAGGTCTCAAGAAAGCCCTAACATTACAGAAATATGAATATCAATTAGTAAGGGTGAAAATTAATTTATAAAGATGACAAGAAAGAGCTTACAAGTTAGAACAGACAAGCAAATCAAGGCTATCTGTGGCACCTGATCTCTGAATCAGCTCATGCTTGTGATTTTGGACAGAAGTGCTTGTACCAAAAGGCATAATTAGACCTGGGAGTAAAAACATCAGTCTGAGATTTTCCTCTTCCTGGAAATACCCTCATCAGCGGGACATCAGTCAAGTTCTATTCGTGTTGAGCTTCCTTAGCTTAGGACAATCCAAACCAGACATCTGCCCTGGATGACTGCTCTAACCTTTTTAAGGCTATTGAAAAGGTCCTTTCTCCCTCTTCCACACAGGAAATGCTCATGACTGCTGTGTTTGCATTGAATTCAATGCCGTCCAAGCTTACAAAATGTGATTTAAGCACAGTCAATGGCTTAGGCACCTCTGGGAAAATAGGCAGCTTCAGGCACACCTCTACGTCTTTGAGTTACAATGAAACTTGGGTGGGAGTTACATGCCTAGCTGCTTAAGCCATGGTGCTTCCAAGCTTCCCTGGAACTAATGCCCAGATGCCAGAGGAAGTCTGTTGTCCAAAATTATTCATTTTAGGTGCCATGAGGAATTAGGTGGTGCTTGAGAGTGGGCCATTTGACTCATACCCTGAGAAGCAGGTGGACAAAGTCTGACTAAATTATACTTTAGGTGAAATTTAGTTTGATTTTCTCCCTCTGTTTCCAGTAGTATATAATAAAAAAATTAAAGTGGATGAACAGAGAGCAGTGTTCACACTGAAGTGCACAGAAGTGAATCACACCCTTGGTGGAAACTGCTGAAAACAATAGCAGGAATTGAAGCACATGACTGTACACACAGGCTTGAATTTACACCACCCTAGCCTGCTGGATTGAGGTGTACTGTAAATTACAGAGGGACTGTAAAATAAATAAATAACAATCTGCTTACAAGCTGGCAGATTGAGGAGACCAATGATAACAAGCAGGAAAATCCTTAACAATACAAGGTTTTAGATCATACATATATGTGTTACAAATCCAGACATTCAGATATCTCTTGACGTTACACACCATCAGGCAGATGCATCCAGAATGTTGATATGCACTTATATTCCCGCTACAGCTATGTGCCACTCTATCAAAGCATAAGTATGCTCAGAGTTGCAAAGGCTTTGTTATATTTTCCTCTTCCTCTTTTACTTCATTAAATATAGACATAATTTTTTCCTAAGAACAGGTTCTGTGCCCCAGAAACACCATAGGCTGTATATTACGAGGTTACTAGAAAAGCAGTTACAGGAATTTCGCATGAACTTGACAACTGGTTCCGTGCATATCTCCCACTGCTTGTAATAATCAAGTATAGGCTGATTTTTGGCAAAATGTTTGCTTATTCA